CCCCAGCACCTCTGACCCATCTTCTTCAAGGCCGCCTGTGGGTACATCCCTGCCCTGCTCCAAAGCCCCCTTTGGCTCCTGTCATCCTTAGGAGAAACTACAAACCCTTAGACTGGAGTGCAAGGCCCTTTGGGATCCTTCCTGAGCTGATTTCTCCTGTTCTCCTCCCTTATTCCAGGCCCCTTACCTCTCCACCATTCCCTGTCTAGATTTTTCTTATGCTGTTCCCTGTTCCTGGAATGCCCTTCCTTGTGACATCCTGCAGCCCAATCCCTGCCTCCATCAAGGCCTATTTCAAATGCCCCCTCTTCTGCAAGGTCTTTTCTGATTGGTTTTATTTCCTGAGAAGTGGCTCTCCCCTCCCTGAAATCCTGCACCTCACTATTATCTTCTATCTGCCCAGAGATTGTGAGCACCTCTCAGGTCCATCCTTAGGCTACTTGAGGGGCTGGTTCATCTTTGTGCATTCCCAACCAACACTCACCTGGCACACTGTGCACAGTATGTGCTCAATAAGAGCTTGCCAAAGGTGAGTTGGCAAGGGGAACTGGGAAGGGCCACCCCTCCTTTTTTAGTCTCCCTACCGCTCTCTAGTACCCCCAGGGTGTTCCCAGCCTGCCTGGGGCTCGCCCACTCTCCATTGCAAACATTACCCAGGCTCCCTACCTCTGCCTCCCCTGTCCAAACTTACCTGACCTGTGTCCCATCCCAGTGTTACGTGGGTTTTCACTCAGTGAACTCGTTTTTGCACTTGAGTGCATTGGCTAACATGTTACCCTTTCCAGGGATATGGGGCCACGTCAGTTATAGCAAATATATTTTGGAAGACCCTCAAAGGCGGAAATATCTCCCTCTTGCCCTTCTGCCCTATTTTCACCCTCCCTTTTCTCTTCTTTCCTTCCCTTCCTCCTTTCTTCCTCTTTCCTTCTTTCTTTCCTTTCTCCCTTCCTCCCTTTCTTTCTTCCTTTCTATTATCTATCTTGCAACATTTATGAAGAACTGAATGTGTGCCAGGTACTGGACTGGGCACTGCAGGTCAATAAGACCCAGTCCCCATCCTGGAGGAGCCCACTGTCAGGAGCTCACAGACAAGCAAGTCCACGGGTTTGGCTCTGGGGGAGCAGACTAAGATGGGGGAACCCGGAGGCCCTAAAATAGCCTGGGGACTGGGGTTTCAGGGAAGGATGCCAAGAGGAGGCAGCAGAGCTTGCTTTGAAAACGCATAGCCATGTTAGGCCTACAAAGAGAAGGGGGATTTATGGACGGGAAACAGCATGTGCAAAGCCACAGAGGCATTCAGCTGCAGGGCTTGTCCCCAAGGGCGAGGGGCACCATGGAGGGCTCCAAGCAGAGAACGGCCTCTGGCTTCTGGGGGAGGGTGGCTTGTAGGGGTGAGCCTGGGGGAGGGAGGTGAGACAGAAGTCCAGGTGAGGGGCAGAAGCCTGACCCAGGGCAGGGACAGGGTGTGGCAAGTGTGTTTGTGTCCGGGGACTGCTGTAACAAAATACCAGAAACTGGGTGGCGTAAAACAACGGATATTTATTCTTTCACAGTTCTGGAGGCTAGAAGTCTGAAATCAAGGTGTCAGCAGTACTATGTTCCTAATGAAATTTGGGTAGGATCCTTCCTTGCACCTCCCAGCTTTAGGAGGTGACCATTGAACGTTGGCATTTTTTGGCTTGCAGCTACATCACACAGATCTCTGCCCTTATACACATGGCATTGTCCCTGTCTTTACATGTCATTTCCACTTCTGATAAAAACACTTGGATTAGGGACCGGCCAAGTGGTGCGTTGGTGTGAGGAGTTGGCTTGGGACGCCAGCTCTTAGCAGCAGCACCAGGGTTCGGATCCCACATGAGGGCCAGTGATGCTGTGCCCACTACAGCTAAGATGGTGAACAACAGCTTGACATGGAGCTGGGCTGCTGTGAGTTGCCGGTGACGGTGTAGGCTGCAGTGAGGCTGGCCGGCAGCAGGTGTGAGCTTTCGTGAGCTGCCGTGAGCCGCCACAGTGAACGGCCGTCCAATGGCCAGCGAGTGACTGCCTCACCCAGGAAGAGCGCAATGATAATACCAACATGGGCCAGTGAAGCGACGTCCTCCACAACTAGACTGAAGAACAAAAGGACAGCAACTCATCATATCTTTTTAAGGGATACAATTCAACCCATAACAGGAACAGGTGGTTCCACTGAATTTCTCCCAGGGGGCAGCCATGACCCTGGCTCTGGCTTTCACATGTTAGATTTACAGATGACTGGTCACCGTGGATGTCCCCAGCCCTGACCTGGACAGAAATGTCAGGACTGGCCAAGACCAAACTTGGTACCACGTGTCCCCTGCTGGCCAGGTATAGCAAAAGCAGACTGGCTCCTGCAAGATACAAGCAGCAGAGACCCTTGGAAACCTCATATTTTTTAGCCATGGAAGAGCCCTCAGTCTTGAGGCTGAGGTGGCCAACTGGAATGGTTTTGAAGGTCTAAAGGCCATGAGCATCGCTTTGGCATCTAACTGACCTGGGTTTGCATTCTGCCTGGCTGCCTGGCTGCCTGGCTGGGTGACCCTGGGATGGTTGCTCAGGCTCTCTGTGTTTCGGTCACCTCCTGAGGGAGCAAAGGGGGTTGTACATGTTCCAACATCACTCAGGGCTGGGCACAGAGTGGTTGGTCAGTACCTGACAACTACTTGCTATAAAAATATTCACTACTTTAGTAAAAGAGTTAATTTTCTACAGTGCTCTTAAAACAAACCAGGCAGATGATAAATGCTAATGAAGTAATTTATATTCTTGGCATCTACTATCTGTCAGATTTGTTCTCCTTGGATCCCTAAGGGCCTAGATGTGCCAGTATTAATAATAATAAATAATGTAATTTCATATATATATATATATGAAAAATCAAGCTCATAAATAGAGAAACAGATTGGTGGTTGCCAGAGTCAGAGGGTGGAGGGTGGGAGAAATGGGTGAACTGTTTTTATTGGTTTTTTTTTTTTTAGTTTAAATAAATTTATTTAAAAAATAATATATAATAATATTATTATTGGCATTTCTAGGCCCTTAGGGGGTCCAAGGAGATATAATTATGGTGTTCCACAAAGCCAGGATGTTATCACATTGCACTAAGCCACATCTTTGATTAATAAAAGAGAAGGAAAATTATCTCGTGGATTTGGGGTCACTAACATTTTTCCTGAGAATAATCTTAGCTGTTGTCAGTTTTATTTATTTACTTATTTATTTATTATTTATTTTTACTTAGGCCTCTCCATATGAATTCAATCAGGACTTCAAGGGCGTGCTTATTTCTTGCTGCAAAGAGCATTATGAAGGTGCAGGCAATGATTCTAGTGGGTTAATGGGATCAAACCACTCCTAGGCTGACCCACCGTCCTGGTTGCTGGGGACCAAAAGGTTTCTTGGGAATGTGGAAACTTCCCGTGCTAAAACCGGGCCAGTCCCAGGAAACTGACACTTGGTCACCCTACCCCCTTTACACCTTGCTTGGACCAGAAGCTCACACTCCCAGAAGAAAGATTGACTCAAGCCCAGGAAGAGGTTAAGAGCTGACTAATCTGGCTTTGAATTCTAGCTCTGGCACAAATTAGCTGTGTGACCTTGGGTAGGTCACTTAACCTTTCTGAACTTTGATCTATAAAGCTGGGAAGTTGTAGATATTCTGATAAGGTATGCGAGCACGTGGCTTGGAGCCTGGCACAAGCAGGTCTCCAATGGGGTCATTTGGCTGTGGTTTCTGCCTTTCATGTCTGGTCGCTGGCTCCTGGTTAGAGACGCAAGGTTCCCAGAAAGGGCCCCTACTCCCCTGGGGAGGCTGAATAAGGCAGGTGGTTAGAGCAGACACATGCACACCCTGATTGGTCATACCCGACTTGACTTGCCTTGGTTGCTTGGCCGCCATCTTCCTCTCTGGACATGAGCTCAAGGAGAGCCCTGGACCAATTTGCTGACTTCTGTACATTTAGAGCCAGCTTAGGGCTGGGGTGCACAGCAGATATCTCATAAGTACCAAATGTTTTTCAGATTAATATATGCACTCCCAGGGTATAAGGGGGAAACTCAGGGCCTAGGTAGGGTTGGAGCACAAGGAGAGGGTGAGGCAGCCTGGATTGGTCCGTCTGGTAAAAGGGGTGGGCAAGCACTAGAGATAGAAGAGGTTTGGGGTCCCAGGGAGATGGTTTAGTTCTGGGTTTGATACATGACCTCAGGCAAGTCCCTTCCTCTCTCAGAATGTCAGTTCCCACATCTGCAAAATGGGATGGTTACTGTGCCTGCCTCAAAGGGTTATTGTGAGATTAGAGATTGTACAAGGAACCCTTAGCCTGGGTCCTAGACCTGCTGCTCAGTGCCCACTGAGTGCTATACACACACACACACACACACACACACACACACACACACACACACACATATGGACTCTATCCCCATATGGCCACACACTCTGCCTGACCCAGCCCCTGCTCCAGTCCTACCATTTACTTGCTGTGTGACCTTGGCCAAGTGATTTTCCCTCTCTGAGCTCCCTTCCATTATCTCATGCTCTCTAGCATGAAATAATAGTCCCCATATTGGTGAGTTTTGGTGAAGATGAATTGAGATGATACTCACAAAGTATTTAGCCCAGTGCCGGGCACATAACCAGTGTTCATTTGGAGTAAGCAACTGGTATAGTCCCCAGGATGATCATACACACACACACACACACACACACACACACACACACACACTCACACTCACATGATTTCCAGGTCCTGGTAGCTTATTGGAGTCCTTCAACCACACAGGGCTTCAGCATGTAACACACCAGATTTTGGTGCACACCAAATCTTTGCCACACCACGGGTATCTGTCCCACAGTTATACTCACATAGGCACCACCGTGCTCTCTTGGGTTCCCCAGTCCCCACCAGTCATCACCCACCAGGTCCCCACCAGTAATCACCCACCAGGTCCCCACCAGTCACCACCACTGAGGCTGGTTAACAAAAACACAACATCAAATGCCTTTACTTCTGAGGTCTTCCCTTTAAGGGAAGGCATGAAATAGAACATTCTTTTTTTGGAGGGAAAGGGATTTAATTTTTAAAAAAGGTATAATTAGTCAAATACTGATCTCAGGCCTTCTCTGTGTGCGTGGGCCCAGTCCTGGCTGGCTGCATCCCCACAGCAGCCCCACCTTACCCCAGGGACCGGGGTGGCACCAGGAGGGGCATGGGGGCGGCCAGTGGGTCCCTGCCAGGTGGGGAAAGCAGGCAGGGTGGGGCCACTGGACGGGCAGGATGTCACCAGTGCAGAAAGTCCCGAATGAGCTTCCAGAGCTTGGTGACCCACAGGTTGACGCCAAGATCCATCAGGTACTGGATCTCGGGAGTGAGCATGCGACGACAGAGCTGTGCGTGCCGGTGCCCAATGCTCTTCTTGAGGTTGTAGCCCAGGATGGACTTGGCGCCCAGGGGCTGCCAGGGTTGCATGGCCGAGTCCTGAATGGCAGTGGCGTCCACGGCATGTCCCCCATCGATGCAGATACGCCGCATGTGCTCATTAGCGCGTCGCAGAGCGGCCACCTCGCGGGCCATGCGCTCCCGCCCGAACGCCTCCACCTTGCGCCAGAAGCTGGTGTTGAAGTGGCGGTAGAGGCGGGCATCCAGCACGTTCCAGGCGGTGGCACGCTGGTACAGCTCGCCGGACAGGCGGGGCACGGCAGAGGCGCGGCGCGCATTGAGTTTGAAGTAGAGCACGTCCTCCAGCTCCCAGCACAGCAGGTCCTTGAGCAGCACCAGGGACTCATCGAAGTACTCCTGCAGGAGCACCAGGTGGAAGCGGCGCTCCACCTCCAGGATGTGCTCCTGCACCTGCGGGCTGCTGGGGTCCAGGCCACTGTCGTAACCCAGGTCGAAGAAGAGCAGATTGCGGAGGTAGTGGGCGTTGTAGCCGTTGGGGTCATAGTAGCGGTCAGGGTCCTGCAGGAACTCGGCCAGCTTGTCGTGGCTGGAGAGCTTCCACGTGAAGGGCACCACCGAGCCGAAGTAGTGGAAGGAGGACTCGAAAAGGCGGGCGGGATCGCGGAGCACGGTGATGAAGGTGGCGTTGGGCGGCAGCAGGCCCCGGACCTCATCGTAATGGAAGCGCATATGGTTGCAGATGATGTTGAAACAGGCCCCCGGACGGTAGTCCTGCACCAGGCTGCGGGCGAAGAAGGCCGGGTAGTCGAAGTCGTTGCGGCCGTTGGGGAAGGCGAACTTGAGCCCATGCTTCTGGCCGAAGCGGAACAGGATGTTGAGCAGTGTGCTACTGGCCGTCTTGTGTGTCTTCATGAACACGATGTCGCGCCGAGGCTGGCACCCTCCCGCCGAGCCGTTGGCTGGGGTCGCTGTCTCTGGCTCACCCGGGGCTGGGGAGCAGGGCGCTGCACCCTCCGGGGTCCTGCTGGGGACAGAGTGGTGGGTAGAGCCTCAGAGGCTGCTGGGGACCCCAGGTGTCAGAACCCCGAGCCCTGGTGTCTAGAGAACAGGGTTGTTGGGGATAGTGGTGGTGGTGGAGCCCAGATGGGGCATCGGGCTTCAATGCCTAGGCCTTTGGTTCGGCCTCTCTGGCCTCATGTTCCTCATCTATGAAATGCAGGAAATAACAGGCCCTATTTGTGGTGTTGGTCTGAGGTCAAAGTGAAATGAGCACGCTGGTTCATGTCTCATTCGTGGCCACTGAGTCCTTGTAGATTTATCATGAATTAGCATTAGGTTGAACTATGTGAAATTTTGTAGGCCAAAAATGGTCAATTATCAGTAATTTCCTCTAGTTCAACTTAATACGACCTATGAAGGGCATAGGTTATTCCAGGCCTAAGCTGAGCAGCCCCATGGGAGGCGGGATAGCCTCATGGCTAGGGGCCAGGGTTGGAGGCAGACCGACCCCAGTTTGAATCCAGGTCCTGTGCCAGCTGAATGCTCTTGAACAAGTCACCCCCACCTCCCAGCCCCATTGGAGCCTCAGATGATGGTAATCCAAGCCCTGTACACAGATGGTATTATCTGATTCTTATGCTACATAAGGCAGGCCCCGTTATGCCCATTTCACAGATGAGGACACTGAAGCCCAGGGTTACACAGTGAGTTCTGCCCTCCATAGAATTTCTACCCAGCACAGTATGGTATAGGGCACAGGGTGCCCCCTCACCTCCACCCCACCCTTAGCCACCCAGGAGGGCCACTCACATGGAGGCCAGGCCAGCATGCAGCGGGGGGACGGCATATGAGTACAGTAGCAGCAGGAAGCTGGTGAAGAGTGCTCCCAGCACCAGCCCCTTGGCCATCGACTCCCAGCGCTTCTTCTGTGGCAGAGGCATCTCAGGCACCTGTGGGGGGCACAGAGCAGGGCATCAGGAGGCTGACCCCAGGGAGCCCCCACCACTTCCCCAGGCCTGGCTGGGTTGAGGGACAGCCTTTGACATTGGGCCCTGCTTTCACCAGCTCTGTGGCCCCCCAACAAGGTTCAGACAGGGACAGAGAGACAATTACACAGAGAGACACAGCGAAAGGGTTGCAGACAGAGATGGTGGGTGAAGCCAATGCAGAGAGGTTGGAGAGTGGGGCAGTGAGAAGGTTCTATTGCCTGGTTCAGTTTTAATTTTTAAGCTGAGTGGTGGGGTGGGTACATGGGTGTTCATCAGTTTACTTTTTATACCTTTTGGACTTCATAATGAAATCGTTTTCTAAGAAGGAAAAGAAGACCCTCTCCTATTGCCCATTCCCCCAGGCCTGGGGCCAGAGCTGTCTACAGAGAGGGGCCATGAATCCCTCACCTTTCAGAAACCCCAGCCCCACCCATCCCCTGTGCCACCCTTCTCAGCTGCTCAGTAATGGGCCGAGGCTCCTCATCTCTTTACTGGCCCCTGGGCTCCTGGGTCTGCAGGGGAGGCAGCTGGAGAAACTGAGGCTCAGAGTGAGGAAGGAAAGGGCTCAGACCAAACACTGCCAGGTTTGCCCACACACCCATGTCCTTTATGACTGCCAACAGGCAGGGTTGCCCAGGTGAATCTGAATTTCAGATAAACATCAAACAAATTTTTTAAAGTATAAGTATGACTCAAAGAGTGCATGGGATATACTTATACTAAAAATTATTCAATGTTTATCTAAAAATCAAATTTAAGGGCCGGCCAAGTGGCTCCGTTGGTTAAGAGTTAGCTTAAGAGCACGAGCTCTGAGCAACAGGGCTGCCGATTCGATTCCCACTTGGGCCAGTGATGCTGTGCCCAAGCTGAGCTGCTGCGAGCTGCCAACAGGTGACAGGATGGCTCAGCTGGTGAGAGCACGTGCTCCTAACAACAAGGTTGCCTGTTCGATGGTGGGCTACGCTCGCCCACAACTAAGACTGAACTCGGCACCTTAAGCAGAGCTGCCACCCGGATGGCTCAGTGGATAGAGCGTGCACTCTTAACAACAAGGCTGCTGGTTTGACTCCTGCATGGGATGGTGGCTATGCCCACCCACAACTAAGTTTGTAACACAGCACCTTGAGCTTAGAGGCCACGAACTGCCAACGGGCAGCCAGATGGCGGCTGGTGTCCTCCACAACTAAGATTGAAGCATAACAACTTGGCTGGTCCCCCTCCCCAATTCCCCAATTAAAAAAATAAATAAATTAAATAAAATGTAACTGGGTGTCCTGGTATTTTTTGTTGTTGTTTTTAGTTTTCTTTTGCGGGGGGGAGGGGGGGGAGGTGGCATGAGCTGTAATAGGGGTAGTTTATGCTGAGGGGCAGGCGTCCAGGAAAGAGCTGGGACTCAGGAGCCTTCCCCCCTCCCCTTAGCTGCAAGGCCAAGGTACAAAACTTTCCACTCCTGTTCCAGTGCATTCAGCATGGGACCCTGGGCCCAAGGCCACAAGAGGTCATGCGTGCTGTCTTGTGAGCCTGGCACCTGGTGAATGTTTGGTCAATGAACCCCCACAAACACATGCATGGCATGTCACCACTATCCCTGAGGACAGAGGCCAAACAGCTCGCCTGGAGGAGGATACCACATACTTCCCCCTGGAAAAGTTACTCAAGGCACTAAATCCCTCCCAGAGAAAGGGCACTCCAGGCCCACCCCACTAACCACAATAGTCCCTGAGTCCTCAGCTCATCATCTAGAAATTTCTCCTCACAGGAAAGGACAAGAAGAGGCATTTGCAGAGGAGGAAAATATACAAGAGGGAATTTGGCCTCCCTCATGACAATGACATATCCCTGTTCACTCAGGTGGGCCAGGTGGACAGGGTTGGGGGTGGATGGGAGTGTGAGAGAGTTTCGGAGGGCAGTTCTATCAAAGGAGAAAGGTACAAGCTCTCTGAATTCCAACTATTTTATGGAAATACTTGGGCAAAGTCACACTTGCAAGGGTGTTCACAGCAGCTTGCTCAGAAATACAAAAAAATTTAGAAACAACCTCAGGGTCCATCAGCAGGGAACTGTTACACAAACCAAGGCCTGTTCCCAGATGGAATCATCTGTAACAATTTTAAAAAACAAAACAAAAAACAAGGCAGAGCTAAGTGGATTGACTCAAAAACACACCATGATCTATTAATGAGGAAAAAAGAAAGTTCCAGAACACTACGCCCCCAAATCCATATACGTATGTAAGTAAATATACATGTAGGCCCACAAACAACTGGAAGGCAGTATTTAAATTTTTAACAGTGGTATCGTCTGCATAGCTGGGGGAGGGGTATATAAGGAAATATTTTTCTATGCTATGCATTTCTGCAATGGTTGCATTTTTTTAAATGAGCATGTGTGACGGTTTTAATCAGAAAAAGGCAATAAAATATATTTAATATATTTAAATAATAGATCATAAAGTTTGTGAGATGGGGTAAGCCAGCTAGCCATGGTCTGGTCACAGAGGGGCCGCAGGAAGGGAAGGTGCCGACCTCAGCCTCTGAAAGATCCAGTTCTGCATTTCAATCACAGGAACCCTGTGGAGCCTCAGTTTTCATCTGTAAAATGAGAGGCTGGTAGCCCTGCTCACTAGCTCTTTCTGAGATGGGGCAGGCAAAGTGATTAGAACATAGGTATCACTCAGAGTTAGCTGCTCCAATCCTGAGCCCCCAGGGACTTGCTCTGGGCCTTTGTCACCCTCAGGGTGGGTCCCCCTGAACAAGGAGTGGCCACTGGGCCTCCCCACCAAGAATAAACCTGCCCCATGCTTCAAGTGTCCCCATCAGCCTCCTGCTCCCTGAGGGCCCAGAGGAAAACAGGGCAGAGCCCTGGGTCAGGCGAGAACCACAGACTCAGGCCCAAATTCTGAGTGGAACCCCAGGCCTCAGTTTCTCTGACTTTAAAATGAAGAGGGGTTAGGATTCCCTCCTTCAGAAAATCTCCTGGGCCCACCCCTGCCCCAGCAGTCCCACTCACCAGGGCACTTTCCAGAACTCTGGGAGGCTGATAGCAGAGGTTCTGAGGTGAGGTAAAGGCCAGCCAGCAGGGGGCAGACTAGCCTCCCAGAACCATCAATCAGGCTCTGTCTGGCCCCGCCCAGGACGCCCCCCCAACCACCATCAATGCTTCATTCATTCATTCATTCATTCGTTTTCCCATTTGGGCTTCCTCAAACCGTGCTGGGCCTTGTCAAGTGCTGGGCCCTGGGCCATCCCACCCTCTGGTATCACTTTTTAGCCCCCAGTATGGGCCAGGGGCTAAGCAGGGTCTTCTCCAGAGCATTTCACTGACTCCACCCAGCTAACTCAGGAGGCAGACCCACTGTCACCCACATTTTGCAGACAGGGAAACTGAGGCTCCCGGAGGTAACTTGCCCAGGGTCATTCAGCAAGACAGAGTTCAGGGCTGGAATTTGAATCCAGGTCTGTCAGCCTCCAATGTGCAGTTTCCACCTTTGTCCATGGCAGCCCCCACCTGGGGTGTCCCAGGCCCAGACCAAAGCCCCAAAGAAGGAGGGTGTGTGCAGCCAAAAGTTCTATCACAGAAGGCTGAGGCATGGATGTGGACTTATGTCCCAGCAGCACAGTAGGGTTTGGCCTCTGTGGGCTGGGCCAGGGCAGCCAGGATGAAGGGTGGGAGGCAGAGGGGACCCTGGTGGCTGGTCCCTCCTGTCTCAGCAGCCTGAGGAATCCAAGGCGGTGGTTCCCTTCCTGCCTGGCCTTTTTTAACTTGGGTCATCGTTCACCCTCTGTAAGCTTCAGTTTCCTGTGTACAGTGGACACACAGCAGCAAAATAAGGGCAGACAGCACCCTTATCTGATCACAGGCAGAGCCCCTGGGTAGACTGAGGTAGATAAAGAAGCTGGCTGGCAGCCAGGAGCCCAGCTGGGGGGGAAATAGTTATGAGGCTGTGAGATTTGAATGAGAATGCATTCAATGCAGGTGGAGATCAATACATGTTAATTATTATTATCACTATTGACCAGGGCTCAGCCCCATTCATGGGCCTGGGTGTGTGAGAGGAGGGATCCCCTCCATGCTCAGTTGCCTGCAAGTCTGATGGTGATTCAGCTCTGAGCTCTTTGAGCCTGGCACCTGGTGAATGTCTGATGAATAAACCCCGACGACCTCAGGGCAGAATGTGGCTGGGGCTGATAACATATGTGTGAGAGCTACATATGTCAGTTATACATGGGAGAGTCACATGGAGCCAGCAGTTCTGCACCAGGGTCCTCGGTTTGAATCCCAGCTCTGCTGCTTCCTTGCTGTGTGCCCTAGGTAAGTTTGTGCCCTTCTCTGGCCCACGATTTCTCCTCCAAAATGATGATACCAACTCGCCCTCCATCACAGGGTGGTATGCCGAGCCTCTGTGTCCCACAAGGAAAGTGACCAGCACAGGGGTGGCACAGAGCAGACACTGGGCATTGTTATTATCATCATTATTATTACCCACCCAGGGTCCCAGTCATGACTCCTTCGAGGTGTGTGCCCACTGGCCCACGATGGAGGCTCACAGGCAGCTAATAGCACCAGGTCTAAGGCCATGGGTTACTGAGGACAATCTCAGCATGGCCCTCAGCCTCACAGCCTCCAGTCTGGAAGACAATGCAGCAGGAAGGCTGAGGCTCAGAGAGGGCAGGGCCACCCTCAAGGTCACACAGCACAGCAGCAGCAGACAGGACGAGACTCTAGATCTCCTTCTTCCTCTGCCTATGGAGGTGACAGTCTCAGGCATTCAGGGCAGATGGTCCCCCTTCCCTAGCCCGCCCCATCTATTCCTGCCCTTCTGGGTTACTCCAGCCACACTGCCCTCCATCTGTGCCAACGGCTGGCTCCAGGCCAGGTCCAGCAATCCTCCAGCTTGGCTGAACCAGCACCCTTCAAGGAATGAAGGAGAAACAGGACTCATCTTCACAACGAGCACACAGGGAAACCAAGCCCAGGATGGTAAACCTTCTGGCCTAGAGCAGGCAGGCCTCAGTCCCAGGGTGTCCTACTGCCCCAGGGACCCCTGTGCAATGATGGAGGAAGAGACACTCACCTTGGGCTGTGGCTGGCTGCCCCTTTCCTCTCCCTGCCTGAGCCATGTATGACTCCCAGGCTGCCTCTGCGGTCACTGGGAAACAGGAACGCTCCAATGACACCCAGCAGTATGGTGGCTGGCTCCCTCACGCTCCAGTGGGTGTGAATATTCATGAGTTCCCTCCCTGGGGATAGCAGGTGGCATGTCTCTGTATCCTGCAGGTGCTGCCCTGGCCCTCTGCCCTCTGGGTGGTCCCTGACCCTCTCTGGACCTCAGTAGCTGGGCAGCTCTTTCATCCAAGGGCTCAACAAGGTCCTGGGTGTCCTTGGGCCAAGGACACAAGCAGCTGCAGAGCTCTGCAGAGAGCCCAGGACAGGCTCGAAGGCCACAGGAGGGGCAAACAGGCAGCTGAGACAGCTCAAGGCCACAGGAAGGACAAGGAAGCAGCTGAGGAGGGGAGGCTAATTGCTCCTTGAAACACATCTCATTTAACACTGCCCTGTGTAAAGCACCATTAGTCCACTCCCCAGGTAAAGAAACCAAAGAAGGCTTGGAGAGATGAACTCACCAGTCTAAGGTCACACAGTTAGCAGAGGGTAGACAGCCAGACAGTCCAAAGGTGGACTTGCCAAACTCCAGAGCTTAAAGATGCTGAGATATGACCAGAGACCAAGGTTTGGGGGAGTCTGGGGGAGTCCAGAGAGCAAGCAACTCAGCCCAGAAGGCCTCTTGGAGAGAAGCACCTGACAGGGCTGGGAGGATGTATCTGATAAGATTTCGCCTCTCTGAGCTCCAAGTCCTTCATCAAAGAGGTACAGTACATAATCCTGCCTGTCCTGCCTCCACCCCTGTGTGAGGGATGATGGCACAGGTCACCCTGGACTAGCCTCGAGGGTTTTGGGCTAAATCAGAGATGCTGATTCTTCCCAAGGTCTCAGTAGGAAGAGGCAGTTCTAAGAGGCCGTTCTAGGGGGCCTGGCCCTAAACCCCAGAGCCCCTCAGGCTCAGTCCAGGTGCTGGAATCTCTCACTCCTTGTTCTTAGCCATGTTAAGGTCTGTCCTCTCTCATCCTTGCGCATGGACAGAGGGTGCCCAGAAAAGCTCCCTGCATCCTTCCTTCAGCACGGATGCCCAGAGCCCCTACCATGGCCCAGACATGGGGCTGTAAGTACCCAGGTGTCACCATCAATTAATAATAATCATTATTGTGACAGCCATTTATCCACACTGAGCCCTTTCATAGGTTGAGCCGCTGCTAGCCCCTCCCAGGGAGCAGCAGGCATCTGACATTTTGTCATGAGTACTCTGCCCCAAAGCCCCATCCAGCCTGGGAGCAGCCCCCCAGGCGCCCATAAAATACCAGAGCTTACACAGCCACAGGAGAGGTTCAGAGTCCCTATCCGAGAGCTAGATCAGGTCCAGGCATGGGGTAGAGTTGTTTTATCTTTTCTGGGCTGAGCGAACTTAAAGACAGATATATGGGATGAGTCCTGGTAAAGCTGGCATCAAATAACCAGGATGGTGGTTTGGACCAATCAGAGTCCAGCCCATGCTCAGGACTTCCCATGCATCACGCATAATCCTCTTGGGAAGCCCCTGTTAGCACCCCTACTTTATAGAGGAGGGAGCTGAAGCTCAAGGAGGGGAAGTGACAAAGCTCAGTGTCGCATGGGGTTAAGAACTGGGCTTTGTCACTTCCCCTCCTTGAGGTGGGAGTGGACCTCAGGCTCTTGAACAAAAGGTGAGCTCATGGATGGGGTTAAGCTTTCCAGAGTAGAGAGCCATGAACGGCAGAACCTGCACCTCCAGCCCTGCCAAGGAGGGTGCCCTGAAAGCAGAGCTAGGAGCTACGGAGGCTGGTGGTGGTGGGATGGAGTCTCTTCCCAGAGTTATCAGTGACATCAGCTCTAGCTGGTACTCCTCCCAAAGAAAAAAAATTTTTTTAATTATAGAAACAGTCCATGCTCACTGAAAAAAAATTTAGACAATTACAGAAAAATATAAAGAAGACAATAAAAAGGGCTCCATCCCCAGAAGTCACTACCCTAAAGCTTTAGCATAAGCCTCCTCGTGTTTTTTCTATCTATATATGTATATAGATGATGGGAGGGTTCTCTTTTGGGGAGCGTATTTTGTTTTTAACTTGCTTCCCCCCACACACACACACACACATCAATAGATTGTGGACATTGTTTTGTGACCACGATGAATTTTAAATTGATCTGTTCACAAGTATTTACTGAGCGCCTGCACCTATATTTCCCAGGCTCCAGACCCAAGCTCCCTAACCCCCAGATTTCACATCTGAGGAAACTGAGACACAGATGGGGAAGGACTCACCTAAGTCCCTATGGCAAGTCAGGGCACCACTGGAATCAAGTGAGGTGCCCAAGCCATACCTCATTTCTGCCCTGGAACTGGCAAGAGGGAACTGGAAAGAGGGTATTCTCTGGGACCCCACTTTCTCCCAACCATCGCTTCTCACCTGTTGATTCCATCAGCCCCCAGCCCACTGATCCCCAGGGCACCTCTGCTCTGTCCTGCCCTCCCTGTCTGGAGAACGATAGGGCTCCTAACAGGGCTTGTCTGTATTCCTCACTCAGTCAAAGCAAAGCAAGGAGCCCTTCAAGAGCCTGCTACCATGCCTGGAATTCAACCATCTGTGCATCATTCTCCCAGTTAATCATCGCCTCTTTCACCAGGGTGGCACACTCAGTCCCTTAGACCCCAGAGAGAGGGAGGGACTGTAGGGGACACACTCCTCCCTTGATGACACGAAGGCATCAGACCCAAGCTCTCAAACATTGACCCATGACCATCGGACAAGGGGATGCCCTTGAAGCAGGCAGGCTTCTTTGTCCACAGGGGGCTTCCTTCAGGCAGCACTCTGCCTGAGAGAGAAGCAGGGAATAAAGCTGCCTGAGGTGGCAGCTGGAAACAGGGCTCTGTTGTCTCTGCTCTCAGCGTGGCAGCCTGCTCACCCCCCGAGTGTCAGGCAGAGCTGGGAGCTAGGGAGGCTAGAGGGGTGGGGTCCTGAGCTGGGGCTTTGGGACTGCACAGGCAGATCCAAGAGGCTAGGACCCCGAGGGGCACAGAGGTCTTGAGCAGGGCTGGGGTCCTGAGATGCAGGCCAGGACAAGACTCCTAGGATATATAGCCACCTTTGAACTATGTGACCTTGGGCAAGTCCCTGAATCTCCTTGAGCCTGTTTCCCTCTCAGGATAATGAGAATAGTAGCAATGCCTCCTTCGCAGGGCTAGGAACAGTGCAGCTGCATAGGGACTGCTCTGGTCCAGGCCTCCCCTCTGCCTTACACTCTGTGGGCCTCAGGTCACCTCCTTGGTAAAGGAAGAGATTGGATTCTCCCAACTGGACTGTCCTTATGAGGATTTCCATGGCACCTGTCACCCCAGCAACCCAGGTGATCAGGTGTCAGGCCTGCCACCCTCTCTCCCTTCCACCGGTGTGGGTTACTGCAGCCAGATGTGCACCCATCACTCTCCTGCTCTAGGCAGGTGGAGAGGGGGTCCCCATTGGGAAGAGACCACAGTCTTGCCCTGCGCTGTTACCACAGCGCTTGCTTGGTACTGAGGAGGAAGACCAAGCTGGTCCCCCTTCCTGGGCACTGGTCCAGGAAACAGGGGAACTGTTGAATTTCCTAGAGGACCCCTACTGGATACCAGGGTTTGTCCCATTCCCACAAGCCTCTCCTCGGTGGCCTTGCCCCTCTGTGATACAGGACAGGGCCTTCCCTAAGCAGAGGGTATCCGTCCCTTACCCTGGCCCCCAGCCCCTGCTCTGACAGCCCTCCTTCTGGGGAGGGCTGGTGGAAATAGGGTAGATTCCTGCCCCTCCTCCCTCAGGGCGCAGGCTGCTGTGTCCAAGATTAATCATTAATGGACTTCCAGCTCAGCCCCACCCATCCCATGTTTAGGGACTGGGTAAACCCTGGAAATGGGGATCCTAGGGAAGAAACCAAGGGCAAGGTGAGCCCCAATCTGCGCCCTCCCTGGCTCCAGCCTGCCCACCCACCCGCTGTCAGCCGGACCCTGAAGCTGTAGTGTAGCACTCGGACCACTGAGGTCCGAGAGTCTGTCTGACTCGCGCAATCCCAATTTGAAGGTTAGGATAGTTCAGGTCGGGACCCAAGGGGGTAGACTGAGGCAGGGCGTCAGCTGGTGATGGGTACTGGGTCCCCAAGACGTACCTTGTCCCTTTCCTCCTCGAGCTTGGCGTGATGGCTCGGCCCGGGCCGCGCCGCCCGGGCGCTTACTAGGCGGCGGGGCGTACCCGCCGGAGCCCCCCGCTCCACCGGGCCTGGACCATGCTCCCGCCCCG